AAATATAAATATAAATATATATGTACATGTCTATCTGTATCTCTATATCACTATATCGCTATTTCTCTGTATATCTATCTATCTATCTATCTATCTATCTATATATCTGTTTACCTATATATCAACATGTCTACATATATCTATATTGTGTTTATATACATACACGCATACGCAAGTGTGTCTGTGTGATTGTTTGTTTGTGTGTGTGTGTGTGTGGGTAGGTGGGTGGGTGGGTGGGTGGGTGGGTGGGTGGGTGGGTGAGTGGGTGGGTGGGTGGGTGGGTGGGTGGGTGGGTGCCTGCATGCGTGCGTGCGTGCCTTCGTGCATGTGAATATATGTATGTATAAACAAATAAATAATTAAATAAATGAATGAATAAATAAATATATATATATACATATACATATTATATATATATACTGCAAGGTTGGGCAGGGGGTTATGTACATATGCACGCACACACTCACACATTCTCTATAATTACCTTGGATTCTTCCATGGCATGCCTGTTGGTTTAGCGAGCCGCCCGGCCTCCTCCTGACCAAGCTTCACGAACTGGTTACCACGATCTCGTGCGGCACGATAGCCGTCGCTACCACCACCCATCGCCCAAACATGCAGCAGTTTTCGGGTTTGGGATGTTTCCTTGTTTACGGTGCTTTGTTGGAATTATGGATGTTCCAGGTGGTGTATCATTACTATGACAAGCCGATGAATTCACTGTTTTCGTGATGGGCTGATACATCCAACTTGTATGCAACATGCTGCTCGCTTTCATGTCTCACTGCAGTGAGCAAATACGTGCAAACTGCACAAAACCTCCACATCCTGAGAACCTGGCTCACAGTAGGTGCGGTACATTGCAGCATACTGAGAGCAGCGCATGTAAGTTTCGAACATCGCGAACCAAGCTTGCAAAGCTTTTGTCGAGGTTTTCCTGCATCGAAGCACCACTCTCAATATGTTGCCCTGATGTTGCGATGGCTTGCTTCAATGTAGCGAAAAATGTAAATCGACCTGATCAAGTCCGTCAAAGCCGCGATGTAACCGGGCCGGAACCGTCACGGGTGAACAATGTGACCGGCGCAAATACAACATGTCTCAACACCTTTTCTGATAGGTAAACTCCGCACTAACTGTTGCATGTACATCGGTTTATCTCGCAAACAAGAAATGCGTATAGCCACGACATGGCACACTTGAATCCCCGCGATTCGGAGGCTTCCTGTCTCCTTCGTCGTGCTTTCGCCTGTTGCATGAGCTTCATGTGATTATCGGCCTTCTCTTGCTTCATGCTGCTCCGCGGCAGCATACCGAGCCCCCCGCCTTGCAGTGCTGAAAGAGTCGGTGTGGCACTTAATACTCTCGCTGGAAACCATGAATCCACCAAGCTCCCCGCTGGACACACAACGGGTTCCCCACGGCAACACCAGTTATTCAAGCATACTTGGCCGGCTCGCAAATGCAACTATGTGGTGTGACTGTTTGCGTGGCATGTGTTATGCACATGCTGCCTTTTTTTGAATCCTGATACAGCTTGTCAACATGTCCATGCTTCAATACTGTGTTTTTACACCTACGTCTTCGTGCTGTGTTGCTAGCTGCTGCCGATCGTTGGGGTCTGCATGGCACCATGGTTCATCTAGCAAAATATGGCTGCGACATGAACATGGCGACATCGCAACAAGATGCAGCAAGTTGTGGCCGTCGTCGTCATGACAGCAGCAGCAGCAGCAGCAGCAGCATTAATCAGTTGGGGCCAACGACAAAGTTGCGTGCGCGTGACTTCTCCGACGCTGGGACAGCGCATGCAGAAAAAAACAAATAACAATTTGTTTCTCACGCACGCTTGGGCCGTCCAGCCCACTGCACGCCTGGTAGTGAATCCTACGAAGTAGCTGCTGCCCAGGGACAGGTACGTGTCCTGCTTCCACCGGCCGACGTGCCGCAAGAACGCAAAGCCACGGATCGCGCGAGCTCGAGTGCAAAGCCGAGGCTCGGCATGCAGCCGCGGAGCAGCATCACCAACATATCTAACCGGCCAGCCGCTGCTGGGCGAGGTGATGCGAGGTGTCCTCGCCGACTCTTCCCTCGACCCGCCCTTAGCAAGCCGCATGCCCTTAACAATGTAGCGCGCACACGGCCGGTCCACACTAATTCGCCATAAAATATGCAGAATGAGATATCGTTCGGATTTCCCCGTATGTCGCCCCCTTCGACCCACTTTTTCCGCCTTTTTCCAAATGTTCGTGGCGCAAAGGTCTCAGTGTGGACCCGGCCCGTCTGCGCGCCAGTAGTACATTATTAAGGGCATGCGGGCGACCAAAAATCCGGAGACGAACCCTTCTTACGGACAACCCGGTCACACCCTGACGAACGGGGTCACGGGCCATAGTGTCATCCGGCAGCGGCATTGGCGTGCAGCGGGGCATCCTGGCAAGTGAAGAGCGCGGACTTCGGCGTCCGCAGGCTGCCCCTAGAGGGCTCAGGAAATCAACTACACGGCTTGTTACTGTACAAAACCAAAGGTCACGTATGTTTTGTGCTACGGAAT